GGTGGGTGTTAGTTGCAAGACTGATAAAATAAGAGGTAAAAATGAATGTGTAAAGATGATTTGGAATTTTAGTATTTGCTCCCCCCCCTCCTCCCCCACCTACCCCAACGAAAAAGAAACAAAACAAAATACAAAAACAAAAACCCATCGAGTAAATCCAACTTTTACATGCAAAGGTAAGAGCCAAATCACATCACTGCAGACGCACTTTCGAAACGACAAAGTTAAGGTTAAAAAAAAAGCAAACCACAGGATAAAACGACATGCAATGCAATAAAACCCACCAGAAAACCACCAGAGGTGAGGTCTGTCTGAATCTTCTGGTCCATCTGCCATGCTCGTTACTGATAGCAAAGTCCATATCTGACCGTTAAAAAATGTTTGCCTTTCATCAAATTAACTACTAAGACTCTGTATCATGCCTGGCCTGTGGGTGGTTGGCTGGCGGGTGCTTTGGTGTGGTTTGCTCCTTTTTTCCCCAGCAAACAGATTATCTCTTCTTCTTTTCTTTGTATTTCACGCTCTTGTAACACCTCAATCTTCTGAACATATATGACCTAATTGGTTTGCAAGTGCCGTAAAACTCTTTTTAAAACTTATCCCCCCGACCTGGTTTGACCCGTGAGGGACACATTCCAAGCAATGGGTCAATAAAATAATGGTGGCGTAAAAGATTTACAATCAATAAACCGTTTTGAACCGACAGGTTTCCACAGCATTGTGGACACTCGTGTTGCATCGATCACTCCTCAGGACATCTTCAAGCGTCAGACCTGAACGAGCTACAGCACGATAATTTACAAGAGCATGTAACAAAAACTCCCCCCCCCCACCCAATCATTCCTCATTCCCCCCAAGCAAATGAATAAAAAAGAAAGAGAAAAATAAAAAGAGAAAGAAAACCAAATGCTGTGTAGAGGTTCTTTTTAACAAACCTATTCAAAATCATCTCTCTATCTCCCCTGCGAGCACTGCACTTATAAGAAAAACCATCAAAATAAAGGCCGTATTCATATTATTTATGTAAAGACCATTTCTAAGTATGAGGTGGATATGAGATTTTTGCGTTTTGGCAACACAATAGAGATGTTCACTTCGCGTGCTTCGAAAACAACAAAGCAGCGAGCATTTAAGCCACCATTTCCACCCAGCTCAATAATCATGTGATTACAGCCCCCAAAATTCCGTTCAGATCATTATGCCCCCCCCCCCCCC